TGAATTGCTGCTATACAAATAAAATTGAATTGAATTGTGTGTCTCTGTGGTGCTGTAATGTAACTAAAAGTACTTTAATACTTTAGTATTTCCATCTAATGCCACTTTATAATCTCTACAACAACAATAACAGATCAATAAACAGGTAAACAAACAGTTTACAGTCCCATCATTGCTCAGTTCAAAGAATCAAAGAGTTCAAAGGTCAAATCAAAGCTCAGATTTCCTCTAAAGTCCGACTGAACTTCAGCCATCAAACACTGGATCTCATTAACATATTAAAGAGCCGTCAGGTGTCTGATGGTCCGGACTCCTGGATAAAACTGGACCCTGTTGGACCTCTAGAGCTCAGAGCCTCCTGGAAACATTCAGTGTGATCATGGACGGAAGCAGAGTGTCGGACTTCAGCATCGAGCGCATCCTGTCCCCGCAGCTCGGACACAGGCCGCCGGTGAGGGAGGTTTCACCGGACGGGTATCTCCACGTCTTCCCCGGAGGGTTCAGCCTGGACTCCATCAACCTCAGAGCTCCAGTCCCGGCCCGGGCCCCGGTGCAGATGCCGGACTGCCTGCAGTACCGAGGGATGAGCTTCGGGGAGGCGTTTTACCCGTACGGACCCGGGTTCCATCACACAGACTGCAGCATGAACTCTGGAGTTTATGTTCACTTCAGCAGCCAGGACTCAGCAGGTAAACTCACACACACACACACACACACACCTAATCTAATGGAGAGTTTTATTTATTTTTAAAAAGAAGGGTTTCAGTTTAATCAGTTTATTCCGGAACTATTTTGATTTCATTTCACCTTTTTTACGCGTTAAATCTGTTATTATTGTAACGACAGAAAACAGCATCAAATGTCTTTTTTCTGTGTTTAACTAAAACTTTATACTTTCTTCCCCAGATGCTCAGCCGTTGGCGGGTTACCATGGTTACCACCAGGCCGGAGTGTCCGCGCAGTCGCGTCAGAAGTCCCGGATGCGCACGGTGTTCACCGACAGTCAGACGAAGCAGCTCGAGGCGCTGTTCGAGCTCACCGACTACCCGGCGGTGGAGGCACGCGCTCAGTTGGCGAGGAGCTCCGGGCTGAGCGAGGAGACCGTCAGGGTGAGTCCGAGCGTGATGAGGTCACTGTTAGGCCAACGTGCTGCCGCTCGTGGAGCTGCGTAAAACCTCTCCACGGTTGCGTAAAAGGGTTCCAGGTTGGATTTTACGCACGACGCACCGACTTGTATCTGACAGATTAAATATCAAAGTCTTTTTTTATTAGAGGAAATTGTTATTTAAAGTTTAATTATTCATATTTTCCTCTGAGTCCAGCGACCTTTGACCTTTAAATGAACTGTTATATATAGAAATATGTAACATTCTTTCTACTTTAATGAACATCCATTTACCATCACAATATTTTTTATTTTATTCTTAAAAAAAGAGTTGATTTGTTAAAACTTTACTGCCAACATGAGCTGTTTTGCATTCAACAATCAAATTTAGGCTAAAATAAAAACACATTATTTTATTAAATATGTAGATTTATATTATTTCCGTATATTTTGTTCTGTTGACACTTTATCACTCTCCTGCTCGGTGAACCTGTAATTAAACTCTCTCTCTCTCTCTCTCTCTGTTTCCAGGTTTGGTTCAAGAACCGCAGAGCGAGGAGGAAGCGGCAGTGCAGCGGGTCAAAGGTCAAATCCGCCTCCCCTCCCCGCAGCGCCGGAGCAGAGAAGCTCTTCACCTCCTTCCTCTGAACCCGACGGACTGTCCTCCGTTCTGCTCACGAGGTCAAACTCATCCTGCACAGGAACTCTCACCTTCAGAGGTCAAAGGTCGGCCGACTGCGTCCTGCTCAAGGGCACTTCAGCAGGCTGGACGCTGCTGCGCTGTGACTGCTGCTGATCCAACAGGTTTAACTGTGGTGATGCATTCGGAAGCGGCTGGGAAAGTCCAACACTTCAAACTCTGGAGACATTTAATGTTTAATCTCTGCTCATAGTTTTGTAGTTTTAAATTATTTTGTATTAATTTATTGAAATCAGTGTATTTGAGTTATTGTAGGTTTGAAACAGAAGCATTTGTAACCTTGAGTTGTTTCATTAAGAAATAAACGTGGTTTTGATATGAATTCAGTCCTGTGTTGTTGTTTTTATTTTGTCTTTATTCGCTGTTTAAATTATTTTTCTGCAACATTTATATGACCAGAATCACTCCCAGATATTAAACTGTCTGCTTAAATCCTCTTTACTTTGTTCATTTTTGGGGGATTGACTATTTCTGATTTTCTGGGGAGGAAAATGCGATCTGAGAATTGACCACTGGGTGTCAGTGTTATATATGATGTGGAGTTTTCTTTAAACCACTCCAAAAAGTTCAGCTACTACTTGAGAATATTATGGTACTTTGACAGATATAGTTGATTTACAGGTTTAAATCTTATAATAGGCTTATAAAATATGTGGCAAGAACAACTTTAAAATAAACATAATTTAAATAAATAATAATTAAAAAAATTCCCCCGAATTTAAATTTGCCCCGAAGGATACATTGCAGCCATAGCAGCTTATTTTGCAGCTAATGTATCATCTAACTTGGTGAATGAAGGATTTATTTTGATCAAACCAGCATTGATGATTGTTACAGATAGTGTTTCTGTCCAGTTTTAAGAATGTTTTGATTATCTGCTTGATAAAATTACTGGTTTTGTTACAGTTTTTCTCAGTCGCTTTGGTACATTTCTCGAATCATCCCCGACATTTGCAAAACAGTAAGCGCATTGACATTTCGTCACAATTTAGCATTAAAACACCCGATGGATTACCTGCAAAAAGCCACTTTTTTCTGCTACAAAAAATCCTTAGTTTCATCTCTCAGGAACAGTTAAATATCCGGTGTCAAAATGAACATCGTGCAGCTGCATCAGAATGGACAAGTCGCCTTTTGTTGGCCTTTGTGTTACGGATTAAAGAACAGCAAAATTCTTTAGTCATGTTGTCAAATTAACTCTGGAGGGATGTTTTTCTGATCGTAAACTTATGCGCTTAGAACAGTTTTTTGATGAATTATTTGTAAATTGGTTAGGGTTACAACCTTTAGGTTGTATTGTGGGGAGTTTTGATTCAAGGAGGCTGGACAACGATTCACATTTACGCTTTTTACTGTTTTGTACTGTCAGTTTGGTTGACAGACCATGTTTTCATTTGTTTGATTACAGGGAAAGGGAAAACGACCAGCACTTGCATAGCCACAAGAAGAAAAAAAAATGTGAACATCTTTTAGGACAATTGTTCCTTTAGTTGAAAACTGTTTTACATTGCAGGCTGCTGGTAGGAGATTACAGGTGCAGTTCTTTATACAGCACATATTGCATCTCTTTCTACAGCCATAGCAAATGGTGTAAAAGTCAACACTTACGTTGCTTACTGCTATATCACTATACGATCGTTGTACCTGTTTACTGTTGGAGGACAGTTTTTCTGCATGCTCATACATTGGTTGTTACCTGCTACATAACTGGTAGTGCAGCCTCCTTTCACTCTTTCAGCCATTTCTTTCAAATGAGAACGGTGTTCACAGCTGCGTGTCATATTTCATTGGTGTCTTTTCAGCACCCTGTCAATGGTTTGAGCATTGCTGACTGTTGGATGTTTATTCAGAATGAGGCATGTTGTTGTTTCCTCTATAATGTCACTCTGTAAATCTTCCCTTTGGAGCTCTCTTATGGCATTGGTTTCTTCTTACAACCATGGGCAACATAGCCTCCTCCTGGTTCAGGGTGTGAAAAAGGCGGCCCTCTCACCCTGGTGAAGTTTGTCTTGCAGGTTTTCCTTATGGTGGAAAAAAAATTTAAACGTAATATGCAAAACAGAAAAATTGAAGTTAAGATAAAATGTCACTGTCTTACGGTAAAGTATACTTTGTTAAAATGGCAGCGGAATACTGTAATCATTCGTGATTGAAGCATTACAGCAAAGTGATACAGTATTACTAGTACAGGTGCCTATTGGTTAGATTACATACCTGTTTCTGTTGGACGGAAAGAGGGTCTGAAATGATTTTCAGGACACAGTTTGTTCTGCCGCGCGAGACAGTTTTGGCTGCACCCTTGACTCAGGCCTCGGCCATATGAAGCCATGATTTGAGAACATCGGTCTTATCTCTTATTATCTCATTCAGGAACGCACATTATGTCCTCGGCGCCTCTCTTCGGGCCTCTTCCTCTGTTTTAGGCCCTCCCAACTTCCTCACCACACAAGCCCTCACTTCCTCTTTCCTCTTCTTTCTTTCTCTTGGGCTGTTGACCCCGGGTCCTAATTCTTTGTCCTTCCGATGTGTTCAGAATTAGTGGGGGGTAACATTTGTGTTGTGGCTCCGGGTGACGCGGTGGTATATATACTTGCCACTTGATCTGATTCGTTAGAGGAAAGTTTCAAGATTTTTAACCTGGGAGCAATTTACCAAGTTCAGGACAGATTAGAAAAAAAGTCTAAATGGGAATGTTATAGAAAATATGCTTGACGCATTATATTGAAAAACCGTGTTCAAACCATTTTTGCATGTAAAGATTGATTGCTACTGAACAATGCCTTAAAATGTTTCGTGGGGGGGAGACTATTCAACAGAAGACCCATTTATATCACAGTTTTGGATCACAGACATAAGCAATTTGCATAATGTAGGAAACAGGAAAGGGAATTGTCACCATTAATCATTTGCAGATGGGATTGAACCAAAAGCATTGCTACTTGTTCAAGAGAAAGTGGGTTGGAGAAACTGCTTTTTTGGAATCGTACACAAGTGACCACAATGGATGTGGAAGATTGAAAAAGTAGTTTTGACGAAATTTCAATTCTGATCTGAGAAATGTACCAAAGCGGATGAGCGACTGAGAAAAACTGTAATAGAGTCTGGTCTGCCAAGATGCTCATGCTCTAGTGCGACATCTAGTGGCAAGTAAATTTCATATATATAACCCTAAAGTAAGACTAAATGTTGATCACACGAAGCAAATGAACACAGCAAACGTATTACACATTATGCTGAAACTGATTTGTGTTTTTGGGAGTGATAATAGATAATAAGCTATGTACTTGAAATCACATATACATTATATAGTAGGAAACCATGTTAGTCAGACATTATTATCTCCATTATATACCTTATTGTTTGTGTAATTAGCAATGGACAGGAGAAGTAGAAAAACAACACCAAATTCTTTATTATATTCATAGAGTCGTCACTGTTATTATTAGAAGCACTTCCATGCTGATGAGAAGAAGATACACATATTGAAAAAACCCAAATCAGAAAATACTGAGAAAAAGTTACAGAGAGAGAGAGAGCATGCAGTGAGTATCTGTCAGGATGAGGACGTCCGACACTCGTTCAGTTTCCCCTTTAACGTCCGTCAGTTTCACACACTTTTAAAACAGGAGTTACTCACAAACATGAACTGTAACCGAGCACAAAGTAACACACACACACACTACAAAACCGGAGAACATAAAGTACACTTAGTGAAGTTATCAAAATATAGGCTATATACTGTATATTCTTAAGACTTATTAATGTTAAAACAACCAGTGCTGAGTTAGTTTCTATGAGAATGAGTTCAACATTATATTCTCAGACACGTACACCGATCGATTATAGAGCATTTAAAGGATAAAACCAGCGAGTGTTTCAGCCAGTCGACTACAAATTACAAACACATTCCTGCTGATCGTTTTCCAAAACCATCCATTAGTTTTTGATTGATCTCCTTCCTTCTGCCATCGTATGCCAAGATATAAATAGCACGCCACTTTTAAGGATGTTTCTCGTATGTTTTTTAACTCATTGAAAGTAATTTAAGCCGAAGTCAGGTGGCCGTCGTTGTGGTAACAACAGGTTGTCGGGTGACATTGTGAAATAGTTTGTTAAGTTTAGTGACATTAATTACATCACTAAAGTTCCTTACTTAAGTTCAGTTAAGTTACACACTTACAGTAAGTGTTGTAGTTTAATTAACTTATGTACGTACTTAAGTTCAGTTACAGTAATTACCTACTGTGAAATGACACAAGAAGCTAAAAAGGTGTTTTGTTAACACGCAAAATTACTCTAAAAACCAAAGGAAGGCTTTGGATATCAGTCGGCAGGAAGTAAGTATACGTACAGTAATTTGTAGTTAAAAAGCTAAAACAGGTAAAACCAGTTTAGTCCTTCAAATGGTGCCAAACAAATAGAGAATATGTAATGAGAAAAGATTATGTAACATCTTGTTTATTGTGAGATGATTAACCGGTGACTCACTAGTGACACTTAGTGGCCAAACTAGAGAAAGCTCCACATTTACACAGCAGTAAGAACACTATGTTCATACCAAGAGGCTTCACTGGGACATATTGACTGTACTGTACGTTTACTGTACAAAGACAAACCTCACCATCACTGTGGTCCACTGACGTCTACTGTATGTTCACCTATATGAAAGAGTCAGCAAATCCTGACTCTGTGAAGCTTTAGCAAAGAACAGCGATGCTGCGGCAGCAAAACATTTCCTTTGAGTGAAATTATAAACAGATGTAAACTACAACATGTAGAGTTACTTTAGTTCATCATGCTCTTTTGTTCAGGTTTGGATGGGATAGCAGGGGAAGGTAGCTAACGGCATGAATGTAGGAAGGTAAAGCAGTGAGTCATCTGCATATTGTGACATCAGAGTTCTCACATTGTCAAGCAACTGACTCCCAGAACAGTGGCTTAAAGTGGAGTTGAAGTCTGATTTCAGTTGAGTAAAGATGTACAAAATCTGGATTTCTTGGTTTTAATCGGGTTTGAAACTTCAACTCACCCCTGAACAAAAGCTGGAATTAGCAGGGACATCATGCAACAATAACTGTTGGCCAATTGTGAGGTTCTAGCAACCTGATCGAAATTTGTTGCAATGTTCAAGGACAGATTGTAGTTTTCAGGAAATTCTGGTTATTTCTTACATTTTTAAGGAGATGATCTTGCCTGGAAAGCTACTTTACCAAATTCTAGTTTTCCAGGAAACCCTGGATTTGCTAAGTGACCAAGCCTTTTCCATTTCTGTTCTTTCATTCAGCTGTTTAACAAACTGATTAAAACAGCTAACTGTCAGGCCAAAATGCACCATATCCAAAGTGCTACCAGGGCAGGAGTTTCTGTTCAAAATGCTGAACTGATCAGCGCTCTGTTCACATAACTCAACCTACAACTTGTAACAAAGCTTAAGAGTTTGGTGAAGTACTGTTTTCACCATTTTACCTTTTGCTGTCTCTTTGGCACTCAGAGCTAAGCTTAGAATTTAAGCAAGAATGAAAAGCTTTAGTCCGACTAAACTCTGCAGCTGGTTGAGCTAAACTGAACACCTGATGAGTGTAAGCGCTGTAGTTATCGTTAGTATAATGTTGAAGCTGATTCCACGGGCACAAAAATAACAGTTATCAACAGTGGTGTACAGGAGCAACCACAAAGTGTTTCCTTTAGCCGAGGCTGCAGAGCTCAAAGAGTGAGAGAAATCCTCAGCAAACCAACAAGAAACTTCAGTTCGCTGGTTCTTTAATGTCAGTCTCAAGTTACTGACCAGCTTTAGAGTCTGGTGGATTTCAAAATTCAAGAACCAATTTCAAGTCCAAACCAGTCATAACTGGAATGATTAAATCTTAAAACCCCAAATTCTATCAAAGGTATAATCAGATTAGAAATCACAGACAGACAAAGATAAAGTTTTACAGCTCGGGTAACATCTTAGATCTCTTAGAGCTCTACGTTTTACGTCCAAAAAATACAAAATTCAAGTATAATCAAGTCTTTCTGGAGTTGTAAAACAAACTCATGTCTGTCTGAATAAACAAGCCATAGTCAGAAACTGAAGATTTGACCAGTAAAACTATTGAAATAGATTTCCAAACGTGAGTTACAGTTACGTTTAGGCAGTAAAACTACTCACACCTGACAAAATCAACATTGACTTGTGGCTCTTTATACTACTGCTGGTACTGCACCTTTGTAGTGGATCGGTGGGTCTATTACACACTTTGGACTATATTTGAAAGACTAACTTCGGATTGTCCAATCTTCTTTAAAAAAAAAAGTGAAAAATCACAACAGAACATCACACTGGCTCTTGAATTTGTGAACCTACCAATCACTACGGTGTTATTGTACCTCCACGCACTGATTGCTTTTGTTTGTCTGGTATTTTTCTCAACCTGAAAGCGTTTGTAGTTTGTTTAGTTTTCCAGCAGCCTTGGCCATCAGAGTGTGAGTGTGTTCATCTCTCTGTATTAGTGTGCTTACAGAGTGTAAAGAAAAGTTAACACAGGAACCATTTCCACACAGAGATAGGTACACTGTTTACATATTGCTGTTTTAAGTTATGCACATACTTGGAGAGAGATTTTAACATTAAGCACACATGTAAGTTTAGATTAACTTGTGTTTTGTCTTTTTCGCAGATGCTCACATTCACAAAATTAACTTAAATCTTATTTAACTGGAGAAAGAGGGTTGAGAGAAGAGGGGGAAGAGAAGCAGAGAGGAACACTTTTACAAATATCATGAACTCTCTGTGGAGAGCTTATCCAGGGTTTAAATTTCTATGTAAGGAAATCAAAAACCTCAAGATGGAGGATATGGATATTTGATGAAGGGACTGTACAACTGATTATCGTAAACAAATATTCAACTCTAAACTGATTAAGTGTTGTTTTAAAGCTGATATTGACTTTAAATGAAGCTTATTTTCAGACATTAGCAACACAAAGACTTTAATATCAACATGTAATGGGGCTGAAAACACTTTGATTTTAAAGTTGCATCAAAGGAACGTCATCGTTTTGGGTCTGTTAGCACTTTTGGTTAACAACAGATTACGATTGCAGCTAGATTTCTATAATATACTGTATTTTAACTCTAACTAGATGCACTAATGTTTGTATTTGGCAATGCACTGATTAATAATGACAGTTATCCTAAGGCGTTCAGTCACTATAACTATACTGAAGACTAAATTAACTGGATCTTTTTTCTTTTTCAAAGTAATGAAGGAAAAATCCAGTTTTTTTTCTGCGTGTTCAGACTTGTTGTGAAAGGGCAACAACTTAAATACACACTTTAACTTTTAAACTGTACAGTTAAATAATCCACATTAACTCCAAAGCCACGTTCCCCCTGTATGCAACAGGAGACATTTCACAGATTATCTCACATCCCGACAGTTAAATTATGCCCGTTTCATATATCTGAAAGATAAAAAAATATAACTGACTGTAACACTATGATAAAATACAAGTAAGTCAGCAGTTGGTTAACCCTGTTTTCAGTTTGACATCTGAGATTAAAGCATGCAGGTGATAAAAGTTCTTCACACGGGATTTGTAGGATTGAGATCTTAATGTTACATGTGTAACCGTGGTTCTCTGAGTGGAGAAACTACCTCTCCGGCTGCGAAACGCGCTCAAACCAACGTCAAACAGAGAATTTCGTGCCTGTGCGTCCCTCATATAGAGCCACGTTTTTCCACAGTTGAGGTGTCTTAAAGAGCCTCCCGGGTGGAGAGGCAGTCCCGACACAAGAGAGAACAGCAGCCGTTAAATGAAGTATGCCAGATCTGGGTCCAACACAACCACCAAACTGCTTGATACACTCCGATGTTTCACCTGGTCTTTAAGTTAGCTGCTGCCAACCTTTGGCGTTCGTTTTTAAAAATCTGGCAAGACCCAAATCGAGCAGCAGCACAAACTGAAGTTACGTGGTTGTTGTTATCCTTAGAGAAACTGAACAGCCCCAAATGAAGACAAAACATGGACTAACACAGAGCTGGGACAATGAGATGAGAAATGATAAAGTGGTAAGGAGAATATTTTCGGGGGAATTGCTTTAGCAGAGCTGGATTCTCAGTTTCAGTTAAAGGACGTTTTGATCGGATACAAGGCACTATAGATTTTGCTATAGAACGGCTAAATCAGAGGGATCTGGGCTGAGAGTAAGAGAGAGAGAAGAAGAGGAGGAGGAGGAGGAGGAGGAGGAGGTGGGATTTTAATACGAGAAGTTTGACTGACGACGGCAATAGTCTGAAGAGACTGACGAGAGAGAGAGTGAAAGAGAGGGAAGTCAAAGTAAAAGATGAAGAGACAGAAGAAGAGCAGAGAGATTGATCTTGTGGTGGAGGAAGAAGAGGAGGAAGAAGGAGGGCGTGGTTAGGACTGCATCTCAGCACGCAGCATCCACGGAAACCAACAGCAGAAAAGCAACCTGGAGTAGGAAGAGGGGGAAGAAGAGGAAGAGGAAGGAAGAAAAGGAGTGATTTTTCGAATAAACTCAAACTGAGGCTTTGTTTTATTTATCTGTCTACCTGCCCGTCTGTTCTCACCTGGATATGGAGCTCTCGGAGGTCAGGTCTTTAGGAGAACGCATCGTGTTGAAGTTACGCTTGGGCTGCGACACTGTGGGACACAAACACACGAATAACAGTCTGTTAATGATGCTAACAAAAGGACGACGTCGCTGATTATCATCGTTAATTTTGGGGGGATTTAGCAAAAAAAGCATTTCTTTTCGGCTTTATGGTTCTGCATCGCTGTGGTTGAGTGGCTTTATATCTGACACACAACATTAGTTTAATTTCTACTGGATTTAAACACTATGAACCTATGACTACATAGTCAAAAAAATGACATCTTTAAAGCTCAGACACTTCCTGTAATGAAAAGACTTACTGGTGACTTGGTGGACTTTCTTCACCATGGATTTGTCATTCTGTGAGCCGTCTTTAGGACCTCCGATTCTGACAAAACAACAATGAAAGCAGTTTATTGTTGACTTCAAGATACAGCCAAATTTAATTCATCATATTAAACAGAAGATGCATCTAGAGAGACTATATTAAATGTTGCTTTATAACAAACTATTAGATAGCATCATCGTTTTTATTTTTATATATAAAACCATCAAGAATCAATCTCACTAAAACACTGATCAGTGAGTAACTTGCAGATTACTTTTGGGGTCTTGAACGCGCTCTTACCTCTGGACGCGTGAGGGCGGAGCAAACACTCCATATTTGGGCAGGCAGCTGAAGTACCGGACTCCAAACACCGAGCCGTCGTGTTTCCCTGTCGGCTGATCCAGCTCAATACCAAACCAGTAACCTGCAAGGACACAAAGAGCTCGAGTCCGCTATACATTCTTTACCACTTGTGATGAAAAATAATGAAAGGTTTAGGCTGAAGATGCCAAAAAAGATAAAAGCAACATCATAAGTGAGCTAATGTTAGCAAAATGTTAGCGACTGATAACAAACCTTACTAAAATTAATTAAAGATAACCTCCTGATTTGTTGCTTTACCATAGCTGTGACTCTGACTGCATGTGCTGAAGAGATAAAGAAATAATATTTTATAACAAACAATG